CTGCCAAAACGCAGTTTACCCAAAGAGATCAGGTGTGTTTTCAAAACGCCACCGCACCAAATAAGCTACCCCAAACGGGCCCTAAATCTATCTGTCTGATTGGCAAAAGGTGAACTAGCTTTGTTAGCTGACAATAATAGCCCAAATATTGTCATGATCTTTTTTGGATCAAGGAAATCCCATAACAAAATTCATAGCAATTTCTTCTAGTTCCGTTCAGATATCGACAATGATTGTAGAAATGTGTTGGGTTTCTGATGTGCAGCCTTTACAATCTCACGTGCTTGACATTGAGATAGATATTCAGCAACAACCTTCTTCATACCTGACCACCAAAATGCCAACCTCAAATCTTTGTACATTTTTGTGCTGTCTGAATGAATTATATAGCCTAAATGATAAGCTTCATGTAGAATTGCTCATCTCGAATTAGAAATAGCAGGTACCCATAAGTGCAGCTTATATTTGATAATGTCATCTTCATCCACAGTCACATCAATCATCCTTCCTTATTGACATTATTTTAAAAAATTCTAGCCATTATTATCTTTCTGTGATGCTTTAATTTTATTAATTAACGTTGGTTGTACTACCAACACCATGCCCCCTGTTTTATAACTTCCAACTATAAGCATCAATTTCTTTAATCAACCCTGGCCTCTGAGCAAGTATCCGGCTTGCACTACCTGTGCATCTTAGCCAGGACAATACTGTATATCCAGAACATAGTCTTTGATCAGCTCAAACCATCTTCGTTACCTTAAATTAGGCTCTTTTTGTGTGAAAATGTACCTCAAACTCTGATGGTCGGTGAATACTTTGTATTTCATGCCAAACAAGTAATGTCATCAAATCTTGAGAACAAACACCACATTAGCTAACTCAAATTCATGTGTCGAGTAATTCCTTTCATGTGGCTTCAATTGTATGGATGCATAGGATATGACCTTTTATTTTGCATCAGAACGCAACCCAAGTCTCTTAATGATACGTCATTGTAAATATGGAATTCTCTTGTGCCTAATGGAAGAGCTAACACTAGTGTAGTGGTCAAATATTTCTTCAACTCTTGAAAACTGTGCTAGCATTCTACAGACCACTCAAACTAGACACATTTTCTCATCAGTTTGGATAACGACATAGTTATTTGTGAATATTTTCTTACAAACCTCCAGTAATATTCTGTCAAACCAAGAAAACTACGTACCTTAGTAATATTCTTTAAAGCAGGGCATTCCACAATGCATTCACTTTCTGAGGATCTACTAAATTTTTTTGATCAATGATAATGTGTCCCAAAAATGCAATGTTTTGCAGCCAAAATTCACAATTTAAAAATTTTGCATATAATTATTTTATCTCAACATCTCCAATATAATCCTCAGTGCTTAGCATGATACTCATCAATTTTTGAATAAATCAAAATATCATCAATGAAAATAACAACAAACTGATTCACATACACCTTGAAAATTCATTTCATCATGTCCATGAAAATTACAAGAGCATTGGTTAAACCAAAAGACATAACTATGAATTCATAATGACCATGTCTGGTCCCAAAAGTTGTCTTATTTGTATCTGTCTCCTTGACTCTAACCTGATAATATCAAAATCTAAGATTAATTTAAGAAAATATAGTAGCACCTTCTAATTGACCAAATAGATCATTAATCCTAGGCAAAGAATGTTTATTCTTGAGTGTCACCTTATCGAGCTATCTATAATCAATACATAACCGTATGGATCCATCCTTCTTTTTTACAAACAGTACTGGAGAAATCAACAATGATGTCTAGTTTGATAATAATCTCATCTATTAATTACTGTAACTGGCATTTCAATTCTTACATTTCCTTTAGAGTCATTTTGTACGAAGATTTGAATATTGCAGACGTATTTGGTTGTATATCATATCAAATTCAACTTCTCGTTTTAGTAATAGCCCTAGCAATTCTTTACAAAATACATCAAAAATTTCTAAAATCACTGGATTATTTTTCAATTCTTGTATATCTTGATTTAGCGCTTCTAATTTTTTCATAAATACCAGTTCACAACTTTGCAAGTACTTTCCAACTTTCACTACACTAATCATAGAAAATTGTGTATTTCGATCACATAAGATATAATATGGCTTTTCACCATGCGATTTAAGTTTTACTCACTTTTTATATCATTCAATTGTAGCAAAATACTTTACCAACTAATCCATCCCCAAAATGACATTAAAGGTCTACATTGATATGATAATCAATTATGTTAGCAATTTCTTATCATGCACATGAACATGCACTAGAAAGGTTTGAGTGGGAATGATAATGAGATTTGTTGGCAATTTCTCATCATGAACATAAACATGCACTAGACATTTTCTGTTGACATAAAACTCACTTTCTGAGCGCATAATTACACACAGAACAGGAGAAAAATACATAATATCAACATGTAAACTAACAACAAACTCATCAGAAATAATGAAATGTGATGCACCTAAATTGACTAGAACAGTGTCAGGTTAATATTTAATTAAGAGCGTACATGTAACCACTTCTTCAAATTCTTTAGCTTATTGAGAAAAAATTGCAATAACTCGAGTGTTTACTTGTTGCTCAGCTCTGCATTATGAAGTTTCACCATTTGTTTGCACTAAAGGCTTTCCCAAAAAATGAGTTATGTTGGGTGACATGCCTAAAAATATGTTAATTTTATATATGTGTTTTATGCTCATTTTTAATAATATTGTACTTTAATGGAAGGTACTTTGCTTGTTTTTTATTGCAGGTACAAGAGATAGAATTTTGAAAAAAAGAGAAAAAATGGAGCAAAATGGGATCAAATGGAGCAAAAAAACATAAAGTGAACCGACACCTAGGAGTCAGGCCCTGTACATGAAATAAAGAGCCTGGCGCCAAGGCATAAGGATCTGGAGCCTAGGCGTCAAGCAGTTATATTGAGCTTCTAAAAGGTTGGTGCCTAGGTGCCACAGTTAGGAACACTTAGCATTTTCTTTAAGTTTTGAAACTAAATTAGTAGAAATTAGTTACTTCTTTTTAAATATAAACTTGTGACTTTATTTCCTAGATAATTGTCTGGAGTTTAAGTAAAGTTTTACTAAGTCATAAAAAGAGTTTTCACCTTCCCTGTGTGATCAATATCGCAATTTTAAAAGAAAATTCTATAATAATTGAATGATACATGCACTTGCATTTCAATCCTAGTGAAACTTTGAAATCAATAATTAGAAAATTTAATACCTGCATCACTAGGAGTAGTCGCTATAAAAACATAAAATTATATTATCAGCACGGAAATGGGGTCAAGTTTTTGGCGCTATTGTCAAAGACTGAAATTAAAGAAGATATACACTAAGAAAGCATCAAATCACAGTATCACTGGGTCGATTGCCTTCCAAAAATTTTTTGGGTTGTCTCTGTCCTTGAATTGTTAGTGGAATGTTATCTCTATTCCTTTGTCGTGAACAATTCATTTGAATATGTCTTGATTGTCCACATTTATAATATTTTCCATAAACAATTAAACACTACCAAAAGTATCTTTTTCCACACTTTTCTCAAATTGGATTTCCTACCTGAGGTTGTATGTGCTTACATTTTGTTTTAATTTTCTTTCCTTGGAATCATTCTTTCTTGTCAAACTCCTTTCGCTTGCTTGTCTGAGGTTGCCACTACTAACTAGAAAAATATAGCTCATTTTCGATACTTTTAGCTCTTTCAATGAGTACTGAGAAATCGTTGATTTTAAATGTCAGTAAATCCAACCTCAACTATTCTCTGAGACTGCATAGAAATATGTGACACTTTTCCTTTTGATCACTAACATAACGGGGTGTATATCTTGAAAGAGAAGTGAATTCTGCCTCATATTGCATAACTATCTTACACCCATGAGTTAGATTGAAGAATTTATCTTGTAGTGCTAATCTGGCGGAAGGCAGAATAAACCAATCTTTGAAGACCCTGACAAAGTCATCCCACTAAACTTGTGGAAGAGGTTTTAGCTGAAATTATTCTCTATGTTATGTTTGCCACCACCTTATTGTTTCATCTTCTATCATGAATGTAGCTAATACAACTCTCCTATTTTTTGTAAAAATCATGCCATCCAGAATTTTTTTGATTTTCAGAAGCCAATCTTCAGCAACTATAGGATCACTGGCACTTTTGAATGCAGGTGGCTTGAAAGACTGAAAGATTTTCAAGTGTCGATCTACTTCTACGCCGGTTACAAATCTGGATCCTATAATTGTGGACGATCTTTCAGTAGCAGTCATTTTGACAACCACTTGTGATATCAGTTACAAAATGCCCAACACTTGGTAGCTCTGGTTTCCTCGTTGTTCTTATTTTAATTTACATTTTTGTTCGAAATATTTTCAGATCTTACTTCATGCTTTGCACTTGGACTACGAGACTAGCCCTCAGTACTTTTTGATTCATATCCAAGCATGTCATATGTATTGGCACAATTTATTATTCACATGCAATTTATCATATAATAATCATATTGTGCATGCATGATACCTTATGTCGTATGGGTTACCCACCCCACAAATTCATCAACCTATAGTTTTTTTATAAATCAATTCATATTTGATCTCATTATTATCTCTTCTAAACCAAATACGCTTTCATCATTCTCTTCATCCAATAATCGTGCTCTGATATTACTTTCTGTTACACCCCAATTTTCCCCCCTTTAAGAGTTGGCTGAGGTGCGACAGAGACGGATACAGATAATTTGACAAGACTAAATTCTCCTAACTTACAAAATCAGGACTAAAATGGGTAATGAACTAGTCTTACTAACTCGCCTCAGTATTCGTGATACATTACATTTCATAATTCATTTCTATATATACTCGGAAGCATTAAAATCATATCATATTATAAATAACAGCTAAATCCAATATAGTAAAAGAACATGCCCAAAATATATGTACAGGATCCCAAAACGATGGCATAAAAGTTATACAAAGATGACTCGCCTCGGTGCTCGTTCCCCTAATTGAAAGGCAACTGCGAAGAATGAGCAAGAACGAGATTAGAGAAATAATCAAAACTAACATAAGATTTTATACATGAAAAAGAAACAACGTGCATGCTTATATGAAACTATATATTTCTGCACAAGTCATAACATACTAGCATAGTAGAAAACATGAATAGAGAACACAATTTATGAAAATGAATACAGCAGTGTAAACTTGTGTCATAAGCATGAAATCATATGTATAATCAAATACAAGTTCATAGGCATGTTCAGGAGTTGTCCAACATATGTAATCATAAAATATCATTGTATAGATACCATTTCAAAATAATGTCACTTGTAAATATATAAGGCTAAACTATTTACATTTCCTTTCATCATGGGTTGTCACCCTGCCCCAAAGAACATATAAACTATCAATAAAGATTGGGCTTCCCCTCAATATAGTAGTTATTAATAGCACCCCTGATACTCATGGTTCACTAACATTCTGTCACCACCTAATCGCAAAAGTTTTCAAGGTTTTGTCTCTATATAAATATCAAGAGTCGACAATACTGCATCCCTGCATGGTGTACTTGCAAGCACTCATGTCATAGTCTACACATAACATCACTCATGATATTTCTTAAAATATATTACTTGTAGCATACATTTATAGACATTTCATATACATGTATGAATCATAAATGAATACATTCAGTGTAACATAGCATAGCTAGCATCACATGTATAATAAAATAAGGCAAGTTGCATTCATACATTTCCAAGCACGTATTCATCTACATTATGTAGGAATTTTTAAATACATATAATTTAAAAGAGTAATCATATGAAAATCTATAAAATATTTTTTTCTTCAATGATAAAAAATTATTTCACCTGACTTGACGGAGCATCCCTACGATAAGTTCCTACATGATCTTCTCAAGCCCACCACCTTTGTATACACAACCCGGGAAACATAGGCATCGAAGAAATTCATGAAATTTGGGCTCATGAAATGAATTAACTGAAAATAACTTATTTGTCCAAAACATATCTAAAATAGCTTTTCTGAAATCACCTATTTTCTCCACAACAATTCCTGACACCTTAATTTTCACTTCCTCCAAAATATCATGCTAAAACCTCGACACATCCGATACAATTTCGGTGCCTCTGAAAGCCCCTGGAAATGAAAAATGGAAAATGAAAGTAGAAGGAAGGAAGTGAAGGTCTAGAAATAACGGTGAAGAGGTATTCATACCCAAAGATTTCACCCCGGAATCCTAAACCACATCCTGCGACTTCCCTCTATGTTATTCGACCCGCCTGCTCGCCCTTGCACTGTAGAGAGAGGAACCAAGAGAGAGGAGAAGGGAAGGAATTTCGAAGCTTTGGAGACCTAAAATGCAGCCTGTGACATCCCTGATGCCGCTCGACTCGCCTGCTATAGCGCAGGACTACGATTCTTCTCGTAGGAGGATTTCGAAGCACTGGAAACAATTCCATCGAAATCAACGGTAATATTTGCGAAGGAAGATCGGTTGTGAACGAGCGCATTTTCTTTCCGGACTGAGTGCCGTTATTTTCAAAGTTATTTCTAATTGTTTGAAAATAATTTAAAAATAACTTAAAAATAAAGACTGCGGGTTATTTTTGGATTATTTCGAAATTTTTGAAAATAATTCGGAAATAACCTGAAAATAACCTCCGCGGCACGTAGAACTACGTCAGGGGTCCGCACAAAAAAATTAGGAGTTGTGAACAGTGCTGATGCGCGCGATAACGAAAGGAGCAGGATTAATTAAGGTGTAATTAAATTAATTAAACTTATTATTTTAATATTCTAAATCTCCCGAACCGTTAACATTTAACTTAGATCAATTTAATGGATAAAATTTTACAAAATTACTTCGTCCAAATTTTGAGGGGTGTGAAATTTTAAATTTTTTCGTATTTTATATATTTTTTAAAATTTAAGCGTAATAAATACTCGATCTTCTACACTAGCAGAGTTCTTCAGGATGTCATACTCTAAAATTTGATTGTGAAAAAACTAATTTTTGCTTTACTTATATCAGCTCGGAGGCTCAGATCATACTTCCAAAAGCATCATATCCACGTAGTCACTGACATTTTGTTTAAATCTATCCTCACTATACTAGAGCACTTTGGTTGACTTCTTAAGTGACCTATGAAGTTGAGTGAATTTGACATCACTTACATCCCTAGAATATCCTTGAAAGCACAAGCAGTAGTGAATTTCCAAACAGACTTCCCAGAACTGTGCTTGCCAAGTGAAGGATCAGTGTCGACCAAATGACATGGACCTTGTACATCAACGGAGATTCCAATCATGCGGGGGCAGGAATAAGACTGACTTTGAATAGTTAAACTAGAGTGCATGTCAATCATCCGGTGAACATTGAGTTTAAGGTCACCAATAACCAAGTGGAGTACAAAGCCTTGATTATCGAGTTGTGCATATCCTATGATAGGTGTGTTCAGCACCTGTACATAAACTCAGACTCCCAACTAGAGGTGAATTAGGTAAAGGGAGAATTTGAAGCCAAAAGTGAATGATGGTGAAGTATCTCAGCGAGGCCATGGTCAAGGCCAAAATTTGGAGGTTTGTTGATTTCAAAATAGAGCACATCACCAGGAAGGACAATCAAGTGGTTGACCCCCTCTCCAAGTGTATCCTCCTGCAGGAGGGGACACCTTAGAAGTTATGGAGAAACCATTGAAGAACCCGAAGTAATAGAGGTGGAGACCGAAGGAATGAGAAGCTGGATAGATCTTTTTGGAGACTGGCAAAAAGTGGAAGAAATCACTGATCCAAAAGGTTCAAATGCAAGGCCACCGAATACCTACTAAATGAAGCAAAACTCTTTTGGAAGTCAACCACCTCTCTTTATCTAAGATGCATTGGTGAGGGTGAATAGAAAGATCTCCTACTATAGATACATTTAAGAGAATATGAAAGTCATTCTGGAGTAATGAATTCGCACACAGGATCCAAGACAATGATACTCTTGACCAACACTTCGAAACGATGCAGAAGAATTCTCAAAGAGGTAAGAGCAGTGTCAAAATTATGCACCATTGTAATATCGTCCAACCTAAGGGTTGCAGGCATTTCTTCATCTGAGGAATCAATATCTTTAGACCATTCCCACCATCAAAAAGCCAACGTAAGCTTTTTCTAGTCGCAGTGGATTTTTTCACTAAGTGGATCGAAAGTAAAGTCACTCGCCCACATAATATTGGAAGTTATTTAGAACTTCATCTTGACATACCTCATTTACAGGTATGGACTGCCACTCATCCTCATCACAGACAATAGAACTCAATTCGTGGACAAATGAGTGAAAGAATTTTGCCAGAGCCAAGGCATCAACCTAAAATTTGAGTCAGTACATCACCCTCAGACCAATGGACAAGGCAAAGTTGCTAACAAAATAATTTTGAACTTGTTGAGAAAGAAATTCAAATGAGATAACAGGAAATGGGTCGAGCTCCTACTGCCCATCCTCTAAGAAACCCAAACATTGTCTACCACTACATGAAAAATGTAATTTATGTTATCACACTAGATGGAGGATATATTACCAGTAAAGTACAATCACTACAGTAAGTGAATGATTACTGCTTCAGCTTCTGATGACTTGACAGAGTGACAGTAGGCAAATTATGAGGGGGCAACACTCGCATTAGATTTGGTGAAGGATATCCATATCAACTCTGCTCTTTGTTAGGAGAGAAAGTGATGAGATGCACCGTGTGCTATTACAACAAGCATGTCCAAGAAAAAATCTTTGTACCCAGAGATCTTGTGTTGAAGAAGGTTAACCAGGCCACACGCGGGCAGTCAGTAAGCAAGGTAAACCAGACATAGGTCGACCATTTTTCGTTAAACAAAAACACCGGATGAGAAGTCCCACAAACATGGATCGATGAAGGCCTCAAGCACTTATTTCCTTTAAATTTTTTTTATATTTTTTTATGAAATTTTAATGGAAAAGGCTGTTTCATCCCATTTATTAATGGTTTTGTACATTAAGAATGTTAAAATATTATATGTTGACTAATTAAATATGTAATCACAAGTCAAACTGACACTCAGGTAACTCTAGAAGCTTATGAACTCAAGCATCTAGTCAATACTCGAGAAACTTAACTTCGAAAAAATGGATAACGACGATAAAAATATCCGATCTGAGTTATCCAAAAAAGAGGTTTGCAGTACTCACACTCCTCAACCTATTCCCAAATTCGAACCGAAAAAAGTTCCAGAAGCAGTTTGCTACCCAATAACAATAAGCTTCAAATAGTGTACGAAGCAAATGACTCTAGAAGGAACTCGCGACGGCAACCCCCGTAGGGGCATCAGTCCAATCGAGCAAACGAAACAGGAAATCTCCAAACTGATCTCTAAACAAGGGTCAGATGAAAGTTTTGGAGGTGGCTTCTTACCCAAAAGTGACAAGCTCCGCGAAACGCAATGCACAAATTACCCTAAAATCGAGCCCAAATGGTATTCCAACTAAGGCCCTGATACTCACACAAGTAAACAAGATTCAAATGGTATAAAATGTGAGCCAAACACCCTCACCTCTAACCGATGATGTAAGCCATCAGATCGATCAAAAATACGGGATAACCCATAAAAATGCATAACACCCAACCGACATCCAAACAATTAAAGGTCGACCCTCAATGCTCTAGCATTATAAAACATACGCCCCTCAACTCGAATCAAATAGGGCTCATAGCGGTTCTCTACCATATAGCAACAAACTCTGTGAATTATACCGTGTCAATGGCCCACTCCAAATTTAAACTGTGACAAGTTAGACCAAACAAATGAGCAAAGGATAATGTAAGAATCAGGTTGGGGAACTAACAAACATAGTCGAGAACTGGCTACATAAAATCAGGGGTGACCGAACAACACATACACCACCATCAATAAATAGTAAAATAAATATGAGGTAAGAGCATAGCAAAAAAATCAACCAAACACCATATCAAATATCATTCATGTAATCAATTGATTACTAAATTATGTCATTAAAACTATGGGTATACATAAAAAAAAGAATTTTTTCTAATTGTAATAGATATGGCGACTGTATCAGACGTTAGACGAACTTTGTCCACGGCCTGATCATCTAGAGACTCACTACCTCCGGTGCTGACTGGGAAGAGAGAAGCTTGGCAAAATCTGTCATATTATATTACTTTAGGCCCATCAATCCAGCCTTCATGAACAAATCGACTGCCGGCTTAAATACCTAGCTAGAGATGTTTGGTCTGGCTCGAGGTAAATACTATAATGTTCTTCATGGTAGCAATCTTCTCCATCAAATCTGCATTTTTGTCCGATGTGATGGATAACCACTCTAATGCGCCCTCTAAATCACCATATGCCTCAGCCAGCGAAGCCTCTCCTTCGTCCACCCATTCTTCAGCCTCGGCTAAGCGAGCCTCCAGTTTAGTAACCTATTCTTTGGTAGCAAACGCCCGAGCCACGCAACCCTGGCTCGCCTCGCTACCTTAGTCTTTGATTTTCTAGCCCCTAGATACCGGGTTGTTAGGTTTTGGGACGCAACTAGGCACAATAGCTAGAATCGATCAACTAGGCGAGAGACCACCGATGGGTTGTACTCATCCAAGTGCTTCTTCCTAAGTTCTTCGACCATAGGACATCTGTGATGGTAGTGATGTGTATGTCCAAACTTGGGCCGATGAGTACCAATCTAACATCATCAATAAGGGCAGACTGAAAGTCTCTGGTAACAAATTCTTTCAGCTACTCCTACATAAGGCTCCAATCGCCCACCTTATACTTCTTTTCAGGAGGCATGAGATGATCCTCCTTAGGCTCTTGCAGTGAAGCATTTTGTCTCTATCATCAAGCTTCCTCAACAGTCATTGCAAACATTAGTGTTGGCGGATTTGGGAGTTCAAGGTGATGCCCAACGAGCCTCCCCCCTGACGACATAGATGATGAACTTGGAGGCTCCTGGCGAGGACTAGTAGGCAAACGGTCAGCATGCCCCATTAGAAGCTCCTCAGTTTCTGATTGTAAGCAATTAGGAGCTCGAGACTCTTCCTTTCCATGGACCCACATAACTAAGTTCATTATAACAGGCTTTCGCTCAATCAACACTAAACCACAAGTGGATATGTTTTGAATTACGCCAGTAGTTTCATATACAGAGTGAAGTAAATTCGAACTAAGGAACCCAGCCATAGACGAAATAATAGCCCCATGTTCCTTCCTCTCAGCCGCAGAGTGATTGGCTCTTTCCTTGATCGATATGCTTCCTAAAGCGACCTCTTTTCACCACCTGGGAAAACCTATCCATCCATCGTTTTTCCTTTGCGGTATCAGATGTTGCCTACAACTCTGGAGTCATCTATCCAAACTCCCTGGATTCAAAACTTTGTTAATGAATGTCTCATTTATATATTGCACAACTGATAAAATATTTCTTTCAACACTCGAGGTCAGGCTTCAGTTCTGAATGGAGAATGATTTCTTCTTCTTG